TCAGTTTTCCAAGACTTACTGAAAGTTGTCACTAATGGGCCAAGAAACCCATTCCCCCTCTCCCCTCCCCCGGTTAACTTGCTTCCAAGAGTTTTAAAAGAGCTGTCTGGATCAGATGACTATAAAATATCTAACATTAGTAACTGTTGTTTAACACTCTCCTTGGTGCACTATTTTATCATGATATTGTTAACAGTTGAGATAAATCTGTTTGATTTAACAGCCACAGGTGTAATTACCACCCTTCTGTTAGGACAGTCATAAGAAGCCAGCCAGCTCCTTTATAGAATCAGATTGTTAAAACAATAGCAGTCACAAATGATACAGGGAGGCATCATTGACCAAAACAGAGTCAATTCACCTGTAAGTGGAGGGATTTCTTTGGTTACTGATTTGTAAAAGTGTGCAATACAGGAAAGACCAGACAAAGTGAGGGAAAAGGCATCCAGGATGCACCAGATGCAGCTGAAACAAGTACAGAGAAGATGACTTTGAAAAATAAACTGAAAAAAACCTTTTGAGCTGAGTGTGGGCTAGGAGAGGCTTGGAGCTATGGGCAAAGCAGTTTGGCTCCTCTTGTGTTCAGGGGAACAGGAATTTTTCATGTTTGTAAATAAAAGACTTCAACTGATTCCGCACCAGTTTCTTCTCTTAACAGAAACAGCCCACAAGGTCCCAGATTTGACACACTGCTCAGGTCAATTTAAAAAAAGGTGGTAATGATACAACATACCTGCATCCTGTGGAAGAGATAACCACCTTCAGCACCTCTCCCTTTCTACATTATCATTAGGCTTGGCAGGATTTGATTTTTAAATGTTGATTTCACCTCACACTCACAGACTAAGGAAAAAATATTTCTATTGTTAATAATCAAAATTCATAGAAAGTAGACTTAAGAAAAATGACAGCCGATGGAGTGTGTGACAACGGGAGGAGCAGTCTTACAGAACTGTGCTGACTGTAGTTTGGACTACAAATTCTCCCAAACTCCCTCCTCTCTGTCACTCTGTCTCCATCACTTCTTGGGGAGATCAGGATGGAGGAAACATGACAAATCATAGCGCAGGGGTTGGGGGCTCTCCTAATCTAGCTAACAGGAAACACTGTGCTGAGGAATAGCCATCCCCCTTCCTGCAGTGTGTAAGGTCCTGAGATCAGGCCTGGGTTGGAAGGGTCACAGACCACACACCCCTCAACACTAGCTCTGCATTGGGGTCAGCAGGGCAGGTGGTCTGTCTCTTTGCCCTTTGCATAACCCAGGAAGCCCTTAGGGCTTGAAGTCTCTGCCCTGCTGGACAATCTGCAAAGGGAGGGGTGGGCAAAATGCAGGACGGATGCAGCCCACCAGGCCATTCTATCCGTCCCACAGAGCCCCTAAAAAATTTAGAAAATTAATATTTATCTGCCCTGAGCTGCCTGTCATGCGGCCCTCAATGGCTTGCCAAAACTCAGTAAGCGGCCCTCCACCCAAAATAATTGCCCGCCCCTGTGCTAAGGGCATGGGCAAGTTTGTCTCTGGCCTGATGGGTTGCCAGCTCCTTCCACCCTGCCAAGAGGGCAGTGAGAAGGGTATAAGGTGAATTGGCAGCTATGTGGCTGCTTGGGCAGCAGGTGAAATCTCATTCCCCTCCACAAAGCAAACAGAAGAGCCAGCAGGACATGTTCCCTGTGATGCCAACCACTCAGGGATGCCAGGAAACCCATGAATGCCAAGGGGAAGACTGCCCTGGCACTAAATTCAACTATGGGACCATCCACAGCCCTCCCACATAAAGGCAGCTGTCATGCTGTGTACAGGCCCCCAGACTGCTCCAGATGGGCTGAGCTGGAGTTTGTTTCTCTGCTGGATGAACCGGCTGCAGCTGTCTCTGCCTTGTGCTCCAGACTGGAGATAAATGCTTGTTTCCAAGCCTTGCTCCAACTTGTCTGTCCTGTGGAAGCTCAGTGCCCCTGGGGGTGCTACTATGGGATGGCAGCTCCCAGGGAGACAGGGAAGGGGAGGAGCCCTCCACATAGTCACACACACATTCACATGCACACGTGCACCATGTTGGGAGCTTTACATGCTATGGTTCTGGTGTGTTAACATAGGTCAGATAGGCCAGTTGGGCTCTGTGCTGGTGAGGCACTGCACTTGCTGGTAAAAAGATCCATAAATGAAGTCCAGCCTGCACAGGGTCTGAGCTCATCTCTGTAGGATCCAAGCACCTCCCAGGAGTGCATTAAGCACCATGAGTCATGTCAGTCACATGTTCATTCTCTATGCATGGAACTGAGAGCCAGTGTGTGTGTTAATGGGGTCCCCATGCCATGTGTTAACAAGTGTCTGTGAAAAACAGCTGCCGTTCTGGAAGACATCGGCAAAGGCTACAGCTTGAGCCAGTGGTCACCTCCGGATGTGGTGGAACAGCTGTTGTCCCTGAGACATCTCCCCAGCTGGTACGAACAGGCAGGGAGACACCCAAATACTCCCAGTTACCCCAGCAATTCCCTGCACACCCAAAGCAGAGTCTGCAAAATTAGCAACTAGGATAAGGTTCAGCTGTATATCAGACCCAGTTGCCCAGATGCAGAAGCAGCCCTCCCACTCCGTCTGTCTCCATTTCTCTGCCTCTTTCCCCCTAATGGGGTTAAGGACATCTTTTCAGCTATCCCCATCAGCAATTCCTAAGCACTCCCTTTTCATTCAGCAACCCTTCTCTGTGCAAGGTAGTGCCCTGCACAGATAGCACCTCTCTGGAGAGACGGAAGGAGGTTTTGTTCACACAAACCCTTGGAAATTCTCAGGTAGATAACAGCTTGCTGGGCTGTTCCCACCAAGCTTCCTTTGTCTGCTCCTTCACGCTGGGTTTAGAACTGCACTACCTGCGCGTAAAGTACTGTCTTTAATTAAACTGTCAGTTGTCCTGTCATCAAAATCTCTTCTCCCTCAGGGGACATTGGGAGACATTAAGGGGAAGGAAAGAGGAGCTGTCTGCACACGCACAATGCTGCTCTGTGTTGAGCTGCTGGGATGAGGACATGCTTCGAAGAAACGCTTAACACTTCCTAGCATGCCCCTGAGCAAAGTGAGTTGTCCAGTTCTCAGCCACAACCAAAGGGTATTAATCACACTGATGTTGTGGCTGGTGAGGGTAGGGTACTTTCTGTTTTCAAAGGTGTGTGCACTCTCTCTGCCACCCCAGAGAGAGAGGAGCCTTACTAAACCTGTCTTAGAGATGGGGAAACTGAAGCATCATGAAAAGGAAGCTATCTTTCTGAAAAGCGGTCCTTAATGGGTGCTTTGGTGCTCAGCTCAGGATGGCTAAAAGCCAGCATCTGGCAAAGCACTTAAGTGAGTAGATGAGTTGTTCTATGGCAGGCTATGATGGGTAAATGTTTTCAGCTGAGCACAAGCTTCAGGGCATCAAAGGGCCACAGCCTTTGTGATTCAGCTGAGACACCAGAATGAATCAGCCTCAGTGCAGGGCTTCAAGTCAGCACTTCCCTGATCCCAGGCTTGGGCCCAACATACGCAGTCATTCACTCGATCAAATAACACTGCTCATGAAGCATCCACCCCCACTCACCAAGACACTGCTGAAATAATTAACAACGATGACAAACAGCAACTAAAGCATTACTAAACACGTGATCCATCTGTCTGTCTGTGTGGGCTTTACCCTGCCACCCATCCCTGCAGTATGTGGATTTCTCCTAAATAAAATCCATAGCAATAGCACCATCCCTGGTCATTCTCTTAAAGGCAAAGAAATTGCCACAGGTCAAAGTAAAGTGGGAACTTTAAAATGACATGCTCCTGCATGGGACAGGCACTGACTGATGATACCGCCCCCCTGAAACTGGGGCCCTCCCTGTCAGGGGCCTCTGGAGTTGTCTGCTGTGGCTGACAACGGGCATGTTTCAACTGCGGCAAAGCGTGCAGGGGGGTGTGTTTGGGTCTTGGGGAGATCGCTATTACATTTAATAGAATCACAAAAAACTAGGGTTGAAAGGGACCTCAGGAGGTCACCTAGTCCACCCCCCTGCTCAAAATAGGACCATCCTGAACTGCATCATTGTAGCCAGGGCTTTGTTGAGCCCAGCCTTAAAAACCTCCAAGGATGGAGATGCCACCCCCTCTCTAGGAAACCAGCTCCGGCGCTTCCCCCCCTGGGGACCACACCTACAGTGGGCGCTGCTCTGCAGCCGGCCCCAGCACTCTGAGCCGTAAGGCCCACGCAAACGAGAGACCACATAGGTGCAGGCAGAGGGAGCTGGCCCTCTCCACAGCAAAATCGGGTCCCAGGGCTGCCAGCCCGTGCCCTGTCGCCTACCGGTGCTGGCCTGGCAACGAGCAACAGCCCCCCCCAGAGTCAGGGGGGAGCGGGGCGGACCCAGGCCCAGGCCCAGGCCCGGCTCCTGGAGCTCCCCTTCCCCCTTGACAGGGACCGAAGACAGCGGGTGCCCCGGGGCTGTCTGACCCCACGCGAGCGGGGGCTGCTGGCGGCTCGCTCGCGCGGGGGAAGCCGGGGGCTCGTCACGCAGGCGGGGCTGGTCGCTCTTCTGGTGGTGACGAGCCGCCCGCGCCGCCCTCCCGAGCCCGCTTCATCTTCAAAGCGCTTCTACAACCCCCCGCTGATGAATTAAACATGCCTCGCCCTGCTCGGGAGGGG